TCTGTTACCTCACACATTTATGTCATGAACCTATCTTTACTTACCTACTGACATCTTGTTTCTTTCCACCAAACAATGTGTCATGCAATAGACTATGTAAATGTTATTGGTAATAAATCAAAACTGTGTACAGAATTAGGCTGTTGCTTGTAGTACCCTTACCCTGTATTTGTTGCCCTCGCTATATAAATAATGTTGTTTTAAAGTAATATTTGGGACTATTGATTGCCATTTTAAATAAATTAGATAAAGCCATTTAATCCTGAAAAAATGTCCATAGACAGTCCTTGATTGGACCAAGTTTGACCTTCCCTATAATATTTTAATACAAAGAGACACACGACACCTAGTGGCTATGCAAGATAACAATACAGGAATGCATAGAGCCATATATAATTTAAGGATACAGATCACCACTCTCAGGTTCACAAAATTAAGATGCAATCGCAAAACTGAAGACAAGTTACAGTCCATACTGAAGAGTCAGTTAAGATGGCCTTAACAGACTCCACATCTGCGACACAGACAACCCCTATCACCAATATTTAAAATACAAACCCAGATAATTTTTGGTCTATGGGAAAATATAGCATCTACCCTACTCTGGGGCGAACAATAGCTCTTTTATTACAACAGTATAAATTCTGTAGATTTGCCCATTAGAAAACAACAGTATCATGAGGCAATCTCCCTCACTGCATAGCACTAAGTAAAACCATACTTCTGCACCTCATAGTTTTCCACTTATCAGAGGCTATATTGGAGATACAGATAGATAAGGGGAGGACTGTGCATGAGAAGTGAGGGCGTGTGAAAGGCCATGCAGCCCTCCAAAATACTCTGGACTACTGAAATAGTCTGTTGCTGCACAGATTAAAAGCAGTTTCTGGGGCTGCTCTTTTCCATAGTTTCCCCAAAACCTCAGTTGGCTCTACAGTCTAGGAGTTGCAAAGGTGGTATTGCAGCCACCTTTGTTCTCCTTCAACATAATACAGTACAGAAAAGAGTAAAGAGCATTAGAGATACTGGCTTCTTGTTTTATTCTCCAGATGCCATCTCTGTTAATCATTCTTTGTGGTTAAATGACCTTTATTCTGCACTCCCTAAATTTGTAGACATTTATGGTAAAGATACACTTGCAGATAAATGAATCTGAAAGACGTATATTCTGAAAACAAAACATCACTAGATAAAGGTGAAATGCAGAAGAAGAACAAGCCAGTGTTAAAAGATCTTCTCCAGAGAAAAAAATCTTGCTAAACGAACTCTTGCGTGAAACTCTATGACCTGGGATACAGTTCAGGTCAAGCAGATGATCACACAGTATCCCTTTCAGGCTTTGATATTTATAAATAAGATATTAACTATTAACACAACCTATATATGAAATGTCTTTTAAAACAGATTTAGAGGTTTAATGTTGTTTTAATCTACAACCACAAAGCTAACCCAAATATAACAATAAATGTGTTTGAGATTTGGTGCACCTCTGCTGAAATGTGAAGCAAATACTTTATCCACATCTATTCATTCTTTGGTTAAGATCAACAAAAACTCAGAGGCATCATTTGAACAATATTCTTCTATTAATGTATTAAAATTATAGAAATGAATACTAAAAGGATCAAAATATCATAAAAGTTAGATTTTGCTTCAATAAAATAACTGGTATAAAACCATACTTTTGCATGTATGCAGATTAATTTTGTATTTGCAGATTAATTTAATGTAATATAGTACCTACTGAAGTATATTTTGACAGTGATAGCAAAATAAATAGGTCAGGATACAAAGAAAAAAGATTGACAAACACCTAAACTTTCCAGTTCAGCCAATGTATTATGAAATCATGTTCTTATTCTGACCTGGCTACGCTTTACTTCTGTAGTTTGCCAAGTATTTCTTTCTACTGTTGTGTTAGGACAAAAGATTCTTTGTCCCGTAAGAGTTTATGGCATCCATGCATCATCACCTTTATTAATTGTTCAGTAACCACACAAGACCTATTATTTAACAGCCTCAAAAGATAACTACTTGCTTTTGTCCCTCTTAAAGTCATTCTCAGAAAGCTGATTGCTGCATCTTTTCCTGAAAGAAGTGATTCAATACATTTGGTTTTGAATAGAAAATGCTGAAATGCCTAAACTCAGTAAACACACAGCCATACTTCATCTTTTAATTCTTCTCCTTTTGTATGACCAAAATAAATAGGGAAGTGAATGAAAAACTAGTACTCATTTGCCAAAACACTCGCCTTCAGGATAAACAAACAAACCACAGTGCAATATATGAAAAAAGGAAAACATCCTGTTGTCACTGACAGTAATCACAGAAAGCACACGGTAAATGAAACCTTTTATCAATGAAAAGAACACTTGTAAGGAAAGGGGAAAGAGGGAAATGACACTAGTATTATTAAAACACAGAAAACCCACATTTTAGAGCAGGGAAAATTCAGCTGTTGAGGTTCTTAAATTTAAGGTTTAATTTAGCTGAATTCTGAGAGAATTCACATGATAAGGTGCAATTTATTTAAAGCAGAGGTTAACCTAGACTATCCAAGAAAAAGTCTCCAATTATAATATAGTATTTCAGTTTTCCTACCTGTCGTCTCTTGGATGAAGGCCTGGTATCATCCAATCTCAATTCTGCTCTGAACCACCTCAACTGAATGGCAGATTGTCTCTCCTAAATCAGTCTCTGATGAGCTGTTTTCAGTGAACACGCACATGCACTCCATATCCTTAGAAATTTGGTCTCGGTGGAGATCTGTAAGGGTTGTTTCTGGGGATAAGGCAACCAGGACCATGCCTGAGCACATATCATGATGCAACAGCGTTCTTAGCATGCTTTTCCCTCAGAACCCAAACCTCATAAATGGTAAGAGATCCACAGTCTAGTTATCTCACACCTCGAAGCACTGTTTAACTGCAACTCTGAGCCAACTCTAGTATTTAAATACTCAAAAAATTACATTCTAGGAATATGTGTTACTGGCGTTCTCTCACAGCACTTTACATTAGGAGGACTGGAACGCATTCAGTGTTGGGCTTTCAAAATGACAGCATCACTTCTTATAATACCACACATTTTTGTTTGTTTTGCATGTGATAGGTCTGTTCTAGGCTGTGTTGACATTGAAACGTCCTTTTCTTATCCAGTCTGGAATCTATTTGACCATGTTGACCTTTGTTAACAAGCATGTTTCAGGTTCTTTAACAATACCACCATAACAATGAAAACATTTCTTTTCATCCATTTCTGTTCAGAGAACTCACTGTGTGCTTTGCTCAACCCTTCTCAGTCCTGTTTCCTGTAATGAAGTGGCTTTTCATGACCCAAAGCAAAATATTCTGATAGACTTCTGGGTGCTGGTGGTGTTTATGGAGCTCTTAGGACAAGAAGAGGTATTCCTGTTGTATACGCTAATCTGGAAGATCTACTTCCTCCTGCTTACTGGGCCTTGCTTTTCTGCAGTTCATGAAAAGTAAATCCATGCATTTCTTTCACAAGCTCATATTTACCAGCCATGTGGAAGAATAAGGGGATCTTTTACTCTTCATTTGCTTATGATAGCTCCTCCTTTTGCTATTCTTTCTCTCTTTGAGAAAGCAAGCCTAAAGCTTTTGGAGCTCTTTGGTGCTGCCTTCCTCATTTCGCAAGTGGCTGTCAGTCTAACGATTTTTGCTGCCATCTCTCATTCTTGGCATCCGACAGGCTCTAGAGAAACCTAAACCCCTGTGAGGGAGCGGAACTGTATTCTTCTGCGCGATACTTGGAAAGGCCAGCAGCATCCCTGGCCTTCGTCACCCTGCCTCATCCCTTCAGGAGCCCAGGCCAGGCCAGGCCAGGCCAGGCAATAAAAGGTTCTGGCTGCCGTGGCGGAAGGCCAGTGGGAGCTACCCAAGCCGCCCTGC